CCAGTGCTGCCGTCCGCATGCGTCCGCACACCCATTTCGGCACACCCCTCACACGTTTCGTGGCCCCATAGGGAGCTCCACCGAAGGCCCCATGCTGCCGTCCGCATGCGTCCCGCACACCCATTTCGGCACACCCCTCACACGTTTCGTGGCCCCACAGGGAGCTCCACCGAAGGCCCCAGTGCTGCCGTCCGCATGCGTCCCGCACACCAGGTGTGTGGCGTGCCGACATGGGCGTCGCGGCGCGCGGGCGCTGCCGTCGGGGTTCCCAGGGAAGCCCCTGCAGAGGCGACGCTCAGAGTCACGAGTACCGAGAGTCACGCAGACCCAAACTGTTCACAGTCGTATACATACATTTACACTGGGCGTATCCATGCACGCATTCATGCGAATAGAATCAATCGCGCGCAGATTCATTCATAATCAGACTCGCTCGCGATCCGACTCGCACGCGCTCAAGCTTTCATATTCGGACCTATCGTCTTCGTTCGTGTTGTGTACACTGCCACGCATTTCGGCGCACCCCTCATACGGCTCGTGGCCCCATAGGGAGCGCCACCGAAGAAGATATTCACAATTACGGTACTCTCAACTGCATATGGTTGGGTCCTTCGCCAAGCTAATTTTTTGAATCGCTTTCCTCGAATCTGAAAATTGTGCAAAAATATCAGGAAACTACATTTTAAATCGTTCTCTTCCTTTCATATTAATCGTCATCCCGCATTAAGCCTGCCCTGGAGACACAGGAAACTTCTCAGCAGGCGCGAGGGCTTCATCCGCTGCAGCGATTTTTCCTTCCGCGGCCCCTGGGAGGTCCCGACCCCCCTTCCCAGGAGGCAGCTGCTCGCCCGGATCCACTCATGATGGCCCCGGGGCCCAACCACGGGCCCCAGGGGACCAGACAAAGGAAACCAACAAAAAACAGGATCGAATTATCCTGGCGAAGGACCCAACCATATGCAGTTGTGAATGCCGCAATTGTGAATGCCATCTTCGCCTGCGCTCCCTATGTGGCCACGGCTTCCCGCCGGAGCCCGACATGCTCAGGGACACGTTCGTGGCCGTCTTCGCGGGCGCCGACGACGACAAGGACGGCGTCCCTCTCACCGAGGAGCAGAAGCAGGAGAAGGCCTTGAGAGCCATGAGGGAGGAGGTGGCGTTGCACGTCGACAAGGCGGAGTACGACGCCCATGCGCGGTTGTTGAAGCAGCGCAACTATGGGGCCACGATCCTCGTGAGGGATGTGCCGCTATGGCCCGGGGCCGCCATGCGAACCCTGCCACTGGCGCCTTCGGTGGAGCTCCAGTGGGGCCACGGTCCTCGTGAGCCGAAATGGCCCGAGGCCGCCATGCGAACCCTGCCACTGGCGCCTTCGGTGGAGCTCCCTATGGGGCCACGATCCTCGGGAGGGGTGTGCCGAAATGGCCCGAGGCCGCCATGCGAACCCTGCCACTGGAGCCTTCGGTGGAGCTCCCTATGGGGCCTCGTTCCTCGTAGGGGTGTGCCGAAATGGCCCGAGGCGCAATGCGAACCCTGCCACTGGGGCCTTCGGTGGAGCTCCCTATGGGGCCACGATCCTCGTGAGGGGTGCGCCGAAATAGCCCGAGGCCGCCATGCGAACCCTGCCACTGGAGCCTTCGGTGGAGCTCCCTATGGGGCCACGATTCTCGTGAGGGGTGTGCCGAAATGGCCCGAGGCCGCCATGCGAACCCTGCCACTGGCGCCTTCGGTGGAGCTCCCTATGTGGCCACGATCCTCGTGAGGAGTGTGCCGAAATGGCCCGAGGCCGCCATGCGAACCCTGCCACTGGCGCCTTCGGCGGGGCTCCCTATGGGGCCACGATCCTCGTGAGGGGTGTGCCGAAATGGCCCGAGGCCGCCATGCGAACCCTGCCACTGGCGCCTTCGGTGGAGCTCCCATATGGGCCACGCTCCTCGTGAGGGGTGTGCCGAAATGGCCCGCGGCCGCCATGCGAACCCTGCCACTGGCGCCTTCAGTGGAGCTCCCTATGGGGCCACGATCCTCGTGAGGGGTGTGCCGAAGTGGCCCAAGGCCGCCATGCGAACCCTGCCACTGGCCGCCTTTCGGTTGAGCTCCTATGGTGGCCACGATCTTCGTGAGGGGGTGATGCCGAAATGGCCCGAGGCCCCCATGCGAACCCGCCACTGGCGCCTCAGTGAGTCCCTATGGGCACGATCCTCGTGAGGGGTGTGCCGAAATGGCCCGAGGCCGCCATGCGAACCCTGCCACTGGAGCCTTCGGTGGAGCTCCCTATGGGGCCACGATCCGCGTGAGGGGTGTGCCGAAATGGCCCGAGGCCGCCATGCGAACCCTGCCACTGGCGCCTTCAGTGGAGCTCCCTATGGGGCCACGATCCTCGTGAGGGGTGTGCCGAAATGGCCCGAGGCCGCCATGCGAACCCTGCCTCTGGGGCCTTCGGTGGAGCTCCCTATGTGGCCACGATCCTCGTGAGGGGTGTGCCGAAATGGCCCGAGGCCGC